ACTTGAGTACAAGTAAGCTAACTTTGTAACCAATGCTGATAAAAATAACAGGTCTTTTATGCACATACCGCAAATTATTCACTCAGTAAGATGGGTATTTCTTGGAAGTGCTATTATTACGTAAATAATAAGCCCACTCCTTGGGGAAATGAATATTAGATTTAAGGGGTTGCTTTGTTACTAATACCTTTATCAAATAAACACAAAGAAGAGATAGGTTATAGGTACAAATCAAATGTTGGTATTTTCCAACAGAAAAGTGTACACTTTAAGCTAGAAATTGAACTGTGTTAAATGCCAGAAAATGAAAATGAAAATGAAAAAAGGAGACCTTTTCCCACTCTTAGATCTCATATAAACGAACTGCCAAGATTGCATGCCAGATGTTAGTTTTACTGCTGAGTATGCTTCAGGTATATTGAACTGAAGCATACAGAAGCAAGCCTTCTACGTGTAATTTTAGTAAGCAGCATGATCATTGCTGCTATTCCATGTCAGAGTTCTGCATTTAGCAAATTCTTTAAATTATTAATTAAAGAGTGAATTGTGTATGTGTGTATGAAAGGGTGGGTAAGTGGATAACTAATTTTTGTTAAAAATGTGAAGAGTTTCACATCCACCTTTACACATACAAAAACAAAAATATTTATATTGGGTACCTTTGACAAAATTAAATTCTGCAAGTAAGAGCCCTCTCTAACACTCCCACGCCCACCGTATACAGACTTGGCTTATTTTGCCAAAGCTGGATGAGCAGCCACATGAGGCTCACAAAACTAATCACCAAGATATTTCAGTCAGTCTAGGCAATCTTCCCTAAGCTAATTGTTTTCTGTTTTCTGGTCATGCCCTTTGACAAATCAATTAGTAACTCAATTTTAGTCCAGTTAATCCATATAATGGCAGGATCTGTTTACTTGACAGAGGTCTGGGTTAGGTCTGTCTTTAACCAGTCTTTTTTTTTTTGTCTGTTTCAGACTACTCACTAATAAAGCACAAAAATAATTTAAAAGAAGACTGAAATATTTATCTTATTTTAGGATTGTCCAAGGACAGTTTTGATGAATCAGATGTAATAACAAAATTGTTAATGATATATTACAGTGCATGTTTTTTTCGCATGCATGTGCGCAATTGGTTGAGATTATTTTCAAGTCTATCTTGTATATTCATTTGTATTTAAGGGAAAAAAAACAGAAACAAATTAAAGGGGAAGCCTACTTATTATCATCTCAATGAAGTAATCATCATTTCTTATTTATCTTATTTATTTCTTTGTTGTAGGGTTGAGCCGGGAGCAACTGATGCACCAGCGTATTACAGAACTTAGTGCAAAATTACTTCTCTCTGAGAAACTTGGCAAGGAGAAACAGAGTGCATATGAATCTCTTCGGAGACAGTTTAGTTCTATCCTGCAGAATAAACTGAAGGACAGTAATGACAGCAGGTTAGTGGTTTGTAAATTACAATTATGTTCATGTGTGTGTGTGTGTGTGTGTGTGTGTGCGTGTGTGTGTGAGTTAGTATATATGGATATCACACCCTAGACAGATGTTCTCTGCTATATTTCTTATACCTTTATTTGCTCTCAGACTCTCTTGAAATTATACACAATTGAAGCCTGTGCAATCCTGCATTTTACCAAAAATATAGGGGTCCATATCTACATACAGTTTTGAGCACTGCTGCTGTTTCCTCATGGTTTTCACAGGTATACTGCTTCCCTTGGTCTTATATTTTCAGTGGTAAATCTACGAAAATCATGTGGAAACAGCATTATTACTCATAATCCTATAGTTATCCTATAATCAGACATGTCATTTACTACAGAAATATTTAACTTTGAATAATCATACTTAACATCAATTATACATCAGCTGCACACTACTACTTTTTAAATCTCTTAATTTAAATAATTTACATGCCCGTATGTGAATGATAGAATATATACCAGCATATATTTACACGCTTTTCAAGCTAAATGTCATGTTTTTGTCAGTACAAAGCTAGCATGTAAAGAAAAACATGCAAATTTTACCTTCCAAAAATAATGATCGTATTCATTGGAAAGTATAAACCAACTCAACATTAGTCTTTGTGTTTTGAAGCAATACATTTTTTTTAAATTAATTTTTTTTAAGTTCATTTATAATCTTGTCTGCCTTAATGACTTCAGCTTCCACTCCAAGTATTTGGAAAAACAGCCTTTATGCCCGACATTTGAGCAATTATTTTAAAGTTGGCCATTGAGAGCACGGGTTGCATAATGGCAGAAAGAAATGTCTTATAATGCCAAAAGGTTAATTATCCGGTACCTATGGATTCTGCACAGGTTTTTTTTTTTTTAAGTTAAAGGGAAAATAACTCTTCGTATGAGATCTATATTTCACAGTAAACACATTGTGAACAACTCATAGAAATATAATTCATTCTGTTTTACCACAAAACAGCAGTTATAGCTATTATTCTGATATCTGAGCTTGTCTTTAGACCACGTGACCTCCATTGATGGCTATACTCTGTTATAATCTCTTAATCTTTTTTTGTTATAATCTCTTAAGAGAAAAAAAAAAACAGGGACTAACTTGAATGTAAAAACAGATTCATTAACCATTGGTAAGAATGAGAAAATTGTTGTTTACTCCAGGAAAATTCATTTTTTGGCCAAAACTAAGAGTTCTTATCCCTTTAAAGGAGCGTTATTTTTTCTCTGTTGAGCAATAATAATAAAAATGGAGAGATGAGAACAGCTGTTCATAAAACATTGAAAGGTTTCTCTCTCTAGTATTTAAATATTACATGGTTTTTTATTTGCTTCACATTTTGACACAAAGGTGAAGTAAATTTTTAATGTTGAAAGGCAAAGAAGCCGTATTATTGGCACATTTTATGATAGAATTTATACAACATATTGCATTGCTTTAACATTAATGCTAAGTGTTAGCATCACCTTTAATTTAAAGTTATTTATTCAGTGGAAATTCTGTACATGGCATTCCAACATGTATTTCAGTTAATTTTTGAATTTTTCATGTGATAAACATACTCGGTACTGTTAGGCCATAGTCTGAGGCAATTGTCCAACTACCAGTAAAGAGGCACAGGGATATAGGCAAAAGTTTAAATTTTATTATTGTAACACTATCCCACTGTTACACCCTGCTAATCCAAAGGGCAAGTAGTCAAAAAATCTTTTAGCACAGACTGTAAACGACATTCATCATGCCGTGCACGGTTATGAATTTTCAAATGGTTGTCAAAACAATGAAAGTTTATCCTAAACATTGCATATGGTTTTTAAATTTCAGAAAGCCATAATGATAACTATCAATTACATATGTATGCTTTTTTGTGTGGTGTAAAGAATATCTCCCACAAATATGTGTGTAATTAATATGTATTTACATATATATTTTTTTAAATTTTTATTTCAGCATCAGTACTGCTCTCAGGTCGCAGTACAGGGACTTACTGACCAGTCTGAGTTACGATGCCATCCGTCCCCCTGATATGTTCCATGAACTGACACATTTGAATGGCCGCATCGAAGCACTGTCACCAGCTTTTAGGATCTCTAGGGGTAGAACAGGAGGTTTGTATAAGATAATTTTTTTTATTTCATTAAATTAAATGCAAATTTATAATAGTCTGTAGTATCAAGATTTTTTTTAATATTTAAGCTACTAGTCTAGCTGGACGAGTAGAGGAGCTCTGTCAGTTGTTTTTCCTATTATCTTTGGATTTAATCATTGAGATAAACTTTTGAAAATTGTATTTTTTTTAACTGGGCTCTGATTTTATCTGTCTGAACTGAGTCCAAATCTTAAGACTTTATTTTTATGTACAGACACAGATGTTATAACAGATAAATGTCAAGAACAATATTGTAAAAAAAATTATCAGAATTGACAATAGCCTATTTTGTGCACCATTATTTTCTGCTTTTTGTCTGTACATTTGACAGCTTTGCTGCCTTGTTTTATATTTATTTTTAATAGATGTTTTATTTTGCAGCAGTTGTGCACATGTCAGCTCTCTCATCCTATAAAAATTTTATGCTGTTTTCTCACCTTGTAATTTTATGTTGTTTTATTTAGCAAACTGAGTATAAAATAAATAACCAAAACCAGCTGTGCACTTGAATACTTGTACATGCTCCCTGATTTTCAACAATAACATGTGATTTTCTCCAATTATATAAAAAAATTATCAAACCTGCAATATTTTCATCATAATGTGGTTTAATTTTTTTTAATCCATTTTATAACATAAAATGATTGATATGATAAAAAAGGACAAATAAAATTCTCAAAGTGAGATTTTTTTTTTTTTTTTTTTTGCAAAAGAGAAAGAAGTGTAGTGTGGTGTAAAATGAAATGACTTCTGCTCCCAAAGTCACAGGTGTTTCAAGTTAAACATTGACGCAATGGGCTTTGAATAATGGATGATTTCCAAGTTTGGCTGATTGTCCTCAAGATACTGTTACTGGTCTGTGGCTGTTGGTTCAGTGAATTTGACTACATTTAAATTTTCTTTAAGTACCCATTTAGAAAGTGCGGGGGGGTCCATACACCATTCAATATATTTGGCTTCATGGAAAACATGCTTTTTCAAGATCTGTGTACTATTTTGAATATGAAATTGGAGTGATCAGAATATTTTCATGAAAACATAAGGAGAAAACATGAGAAAAATATATGCTTACTCAATTATATATTTTTGATTTAGAGGAAAAAAATAAATCTCAATGTTGACTGGTCTTGAGAAATATGTGAGCAGTTCTTGCCAGTTTTTCAAATCTTTTCCTGAGGCAGGCTTGCCTATTAATGTTTAGTTTAAGTTTCGAATAGGCCAGTCCGGCTGCTACTAAATAGACACCTGTGTGTCTCAGCATGAGGTAATGCATGGTTATGGAACAGTAGAGATTTAGAGACATTTATATGAATCATTTAGATACCCTCGAGTCAGGAAGTGTTTGAATTCTCAAAAATTAATTAGCCTGTAGATTGTAACAGGATTTGAAACAATGAGTCATGATTTTAAGAGGAAATTGCAGAGAGTTGTATTTATTTGGAATCAACTGTTAATTTCCACTTCAATTATATTTGTTATTCAGTAAACTCATATCTTCCAACAGCATGTGTTTTCTCTTCCTCCCTGTTGCCTATGGTTTGGGGGCTGAAATATCATTGATATTTTGTGAAAAGAGCCATCTTTTGTCTCAGAGATTAAAGATGAATATGACTGCCACTTTCTTTTTATACAGTATAAAGGTTTTTTTATGATGTAGGTATGCTTGTCAATTTTAGGTTCCAAATAAAGCTACCCCGCAGTACACACATTTTACATTGTGAAGAGATTTTTTGAACAATATATATAGTAAAATAAATCTTTGCTTTGCAATAATCCATGCATCATGTAGTTATATTAAAGCTAAAATGCATTTAGACTCGACAAAATGTAAGAATCCTTTGATATCATCTTCCCAATGAAATTTTTATTTACTAGGACTAAGATGTAAGGGCATCTTGCTGAATACAATCAGATTAATGGCTTAGCACGTTTGTTCTTGTTTCCAACTTGTTCATATAAGCACCGCCTTTTCTGTATTCAACTCAATGCAAGGAGTATGTTTTCTGTTAATCCGATTGCATTCAGCAAGAGTCCCTGCAGAGTTGGAACCATCTACATAGGACGATAGTGTCATTGGGAATAAGCCCTTAGTTTCCAGTTATCTCTGAAAGTCGGGCTGCCTAGACTGGGTCCACCAATACTCCAGATGTTATAGTTGGAATATGTTTATGAATACAGTATTTGCTGTAATGTATATCCTTCATGTTAAGACACATTGTTTTAAATAATATATATATCTGTCTTGCATTGTCAGTATCTGTTGGAAGCTCTTTCTCATATTAATGGGTATAGAAAGGCTGTACTTAGTGCTGTTCTGTTGGTAATTGTGAGTGATGATTGATCTTGAAATGGAAGTTTCACTACTGTTCATTGCCTTCATTCCCAGTGGGGGGAAAAAGACACTATTGCTTTGAATTCTTTCCATTCTCACTTATAACTGCAATTTTAGACTACATTTGGCCTGTTGATTTATTTATTTTGGGACATTTAGTTGATAGGAAATGTGAATGTGAAGACAAAAATTATGGGTCTCAGAATGAACTGTCACTTCAAATGATGGTAATTTTGTTTCCTGATGTCTAATTTTGAAAACAGTTTCATGGAATATTCTTGCCATTATAAGGAATCCTTTAGAATCCCTTAGCTGCATATTATAACTTGAAAATAACCTGAACTAGTATTGACAGAATTATTTTTTGCATTACAATTTACATGCACCGTGCTTAGTAAGCTCTCCATATTCAAAAGTATGAACCAATGGTAAATTGTGTGACCTTTCAGATTATTGACAGTACTTACTTGTCTAGATTTAAGAATTTTTTTAAAAGTGAGTTTGGTGTGATATTTTTTTAGGGACAATGATGAAGTAATTTGCAAATAAATTGTTCTGCAGTTACATAGTATAAAAGATGACAGGTTATTGTTTAAAGCAGAGCATGTGATTATATATGGTAGAAAATATGAGAGAGAATGGCTTATTCCAAGTGATGATTGGTTCTTGATACAAAACATAATATGATTGATCTGGTGCTGTGTAGATCTATCCGTTTTGAATATAATCATGCTCAATTTCATTGATTCACTTTTGAGTCTGCCATTACTTATCCCGCCAGTTTAATACGTGATCAATTATTGGTTGATATCCAGCACTACGTGTATTCTAATACAATTCATGATCAATTAGTGGTTCATTTCCAGTACTATTCTATTGACACATTTAACCAACTGTCGGCTTCCTCTGTTATTGTCCATTGGTTTGCTTTTTCTATGGGGCAATCAGTAAGCTACACATAATAGTGGCAGATTTACTGCATTCGCTTTTTAAACCCACTGTTTTTTTTAAAGTTACTTCATAATCTGTAATGTTTGTCAAAAATATATTTTACATTTTTATGGTCACATAGTGGTATGAGAGAGAGAGAAAAAAATGGGAACAGCATCTTCCATATAACATCGTATTAATCAAATAACTTATTGATAAATATGCTATTTTTCCAGTATCAATCGTTGTTGGCATTCCCTCAGTGAAGAGAGAGAAAAACAGCTATTTACTGGATACTTTGAGGTCGCTGGTGGATAACCTCAATGAAGAAGAAAAGAATGATACATTGTTGGTTGTGTTAATAGCAGAGGTAGGTATGATTGACTGTGTGATATTTACAACTAGAAAAGCAACCAGAGAGTGCATTGTTAATATTGATGGAATGTGTGTGGTTTGGAAGCATTTTCACACCACTGGGATGAATTGAACATACTTTCAGATACTGGAAACCTAAAACCTCAAGTTTCTCTTCTTAGAAATCTTCAAACAGTCTGAAGTATTTCCATTTTCTGCCAAAGAAATGTCACAGATAGCAGTCCCTTCCTTTCACATGTCAAATAGTATGAATTTACTTTACTTAGAAAAGAAAGGTAGAGTTAAATGGTTTATATAAATATTATTTATTTATTTTTCAAATTTTTTAAATCAGCCTGAACACTAACCAGATGTGGCTTGAATTTTTAACACACACACGTGCGCACACGCACGTGCTTGCAAGGCCTTTTGACTAACTCCTAAAGTAGAAGTGAAGATGGCTCTTCATGTTGAATCTTATTCCCAAAAGCATCCCGATTTCCAAGTAAAAAGTAAATTACTCTTTCATGTACTTATCATGCATGCTTATAACATTTGATTTTATTGACAAAACTTGAGCAGCATGACTGATACTAGAAAAATCATTTTATTTTCTGTTGAGGTTATTTATTTGAGCCTGCTGACTATATCTCCATAAACCCATACAAAAAAATGGAATTTAGCATGCAGTTCAACATGGAATAAGGGATGGGAAACTTTATAGAAAATACAATTCAGTGACAGCTGTTAGTGATTACATTTGGGTTCACCATTGTTATATAATGGTACATTAATTATGTTGAGTCATGATGTTTTCATGAAGTATGGTATGGGAAGTGATGCAGTTTCTCTTTTTAATGCCTTTTTCTTTCAAATATATTCATTTTGATAGATTATTGTTTCTCAAGCTAATATAGCTTTAAGTAAATTGCAACCAGCTGCATCATAAAGTTACTGATTAATTTATTACTTGAAGAAAGAAAAACATATTTAACAGTTGAAAGAAATATTCAGGTGATTTAAGTTTTTTTTATTTAATGTAAATTATACCATTTCATATTTGAAAAAATCCCCATTTAAAGTAAAATTTTCTTTCTCTGCTCAATAACTTTCTCAATTCAGACGTTAAAAATGACAACACTCACTCACACAGGCACACACAAAAAAAAAAAAAAAAAAAAAAAAACAATGGAAGTACCTGATGTCAATGTTTCCTTCTAAAATGTACAGAAGACATGATGGTCTATGTGACAGGCTAGGCATTTAGAATTGAATTATTTGATTTAATTTACAAAATAAATGTTATAAAACATCAAATCCAAGTGCGGTGATGGCTCAGCAAGGTTTTATGTGTAAGAATTACTTTTTTTTTAGAAAAATAAGATTTGGTTGAAAATTTCAAGATAGGATACCTTTTAAGTGACAGGGTAAATTAACAAGGAAGCCCATGTATATTAATATGTACCTGTTCATACTAGTAATTTTATTTTTAATAATAAAATTTCTGCTTTCAGCCCTATGATGTGAAGTATATCCAGAGCCAGGCAGAGCTGGTCAAGTCAAAGTGAGTAGCTGTTATGGACACCTATAGAAAATTTTGTTTTTAAATTCATCTTAATTTAGACTCGACAATTATGCTGTCACTTCTAACCAAGCCTTAAGATGTGATTCCATCTGAAGAAAATGCACTAACACATGCAGTGTGCATGAAACTGTCATCAAGCAACTGTGTTCTGTAGATCTATACAATTGCACCTTTCTTTAGTATTACCACATTAAGTCTAATAAAATTATTTGGAATACAATATGATATAAAAAGATATGATATAATGTTATGTAATGTATTGTATGATACAATATGATACAGTGCAATACAAAATAGATACTGACAATAAAGTACAATACAAAACTATACAATACAATATATCCTGATATCAGTTTTCCAGATGAAGTGGGTTCAGGTCTTATTGAGGTGTTGGGACCCTCTGCCTCCTATTACCCTGATCTGGACAGCATAAAGGAGACCCTGGGGGACTCCAAGGAGAGGACAAGGTGAGAAATGCTTTGGTCAGGTGTGCAACCTGGGGATGTTTACCCTGGGGGTGTTAACCCTGGGGTGCCATCTGAAGAGGGCTCCACTCACAGTTTTTAACCTTCTTGCAGCTGTCAAATGTGATAGTTATTAGTAAACTTTTCTGTAGGTATGCCCCTGATACTTTTGGTAGGTTCATGCATAAGTAGTGCTAAATCTTTTAATTTTGTATAAAAATTATAATGCTTTACTACAAGTATTTATGACTTTTCAATCGCTTTAAGATGTATGTCCATATCGTTTGTTTGCTTTTTTTTTTTTTAACCTAACTTTGATTTAACATTAACAAAGTGGACTTATTTTCATTTTGACTGCTAGGCTATCTGTTCATCAACCAGCCAACCAGTATTTACTCACATCATATTTGTCTCACACTTTATTTCAGATGGAGAAGTAAACAAAACCTGGACTTTGTGTACCTGTGGATGTATGCCAGAACAAGGGGGACATATTATGTACAGGTAAGATGATTTAGATATGAATTTTTAATAAAACGCCGTGTTCACTTTGAAGCAGTGAAATTGTGTTGCAAACTTAACTGTTGGATATTTTATATCATATCAATCCAGAGATAGACTGAGAGAAATGCTGATAATTGGGGTCAGTTTTTAGTAACATCTGAAACCCACAGTATCATATATATATTTAGAGCAAAACCCATCCAGTTCTTGAAATTATCAGAGATGAGATTTTTCCAACTATTGGTGATTTCCGACTTTTTAGGAGCCAAAAATACCATTGGCCTATTTTCCGCTTTTTTCACTTTTAAATGGCAGTTTCATCTCTGAGTTATATAGGGCATGATTGTACTTACTCATGATATGCCGTTACATGTGACACAGTAACTGCAGCATTGGGTGCGATAATTTCTTTCTTTTCCAGCTGGAAGATGATGTCATGGCCAAGTCTGGTTACGTGACCATCATGAAGAACTTTGCTCTCAGCCAGAAGACAGATGACTGGCTACTGCTGGAGTTCTCATACCTGGGCTTCATTGGTAAATTGGCTGTAGACTGGATTGAAACATTCATGGTCATAGGAATATGAGCTGTGCATGGGACAATATTGAAAACATATTAGTAGATACAGTGATACAGACAACTGGCAACTCTATGTTGTTTTTTGTATCAATTTGTGCCACTTTCAAATATTATTGTATTGTTAATATCATGCTACATTTTGAGTGTTTCGTAAATTGTTAAATGTTTAATGAAAGAAATATGTAGTGAATTGTGTTAACTGGCACATGTTCGCATTTTTTGCTGGACAATGAAGTGTTAATTTTGATACTCAAGCCCACGGGTGTAATCTAATTGTTGCATTATTATTATTATCATTATTATAATAATAATAATAATAATGATAATAATAATATTATTATTATAATTTTTATTATTCCAGGGAAGATGTTCAAGTCTGCTGATTTGCCATACTTGATAGAGTTTATCCTGATGTTCTACACAGAGAAGCCCATAGACTGGCTACTGGACCATTATCTGTTTGTCAAATTGTGTAGTCCAGAGAAGGATGCAGTGAGTAAATGAATAAGGAAATGAATATACAATTGCTGTTTATTCCTTGTTGTTTATCGTGTGGGGAGAAATATAAGGAAAAAAATACATAACGGAAAAATTTCAGGAAATTTTCATATGTTATTTGTTTTAACTGAGAATAAACCAAGGTTTAAGTTCCTGTTACTATCATGTATTGAAAATGTGAAACAAATTTTTCAAAAGTGTTCTTAGAATCTATGAATCACATGTTTTACTAATGCACTTATTTATTCCTGTGTCAGTGTAAAGCAGTCTTTGAAATGACTTTTTTGTCAGAAATACTGCGACCGAATGAAGAGCAGTTTACGCCGCCGCTTCAAACCCTCCCTGTTTCAGCACGTTGGAATGCATTCTTCACTGAAGGGAAAAGTGCAGAAATTGAAAGTAAGAATGACATGGGTCAGGCATATGTCAATGCAACATGAAATTTCTCAAAAATATGGTAATTTAATGTATTGCAAAAATATTCCCCAAGTTTGTTTTATATAATGAAACAGTCTGGTTTAACCTTTTTTTGCATATTGTAATAAGGATTCTAAATCAATATTTCATTATGTTTCAAGATGAGACATTCACTTGATGCTGGAAATAATCTAATCCAAAAAGCCAAGCCATATGTCTTTGAACATGTGAGACTTGTCTATTAAATGCTAAAGATCAAATTGAACTAATCCCAATAGTCATGCCTTGTTTTTATTACCTTCAACAAATCAAAACGTGTCCATTAGTCATATATTGTTATTTAATCCTCTTCTTCTCCTAAATCTTTACAAATGAGAGATTTCTATTGCAGGTTAAATTTATTACAGTAGATATGAACCTTAGGCTTGTTGAACACATGGTGAGATTTGACTATGGGATACTAAAGATAATAAAAATCCAAATAAAAACCTCAGTCATATTTGTTGTTCTACCAGGACAAGGACTTTGGCAAGGCTCAGCTCCATCATCCCCACACCAACCCTCCAGCTGAGGTGTCCACCACGATAGAAAAATACCAGAAATACTCCCTGGATGATGCCTATCTGGGCCTGGACTTTTTCTGGGGAACCTTTCCCAAAGCTGGCGATATGTGCATCTTCAGGTTTAATCCACCAATAGCATTAGAGAGGTGAGATAACATTGCTCGTTTTCAAGGTTTTTAACAAAAGTCAACAAGCGAGTTCTCAGTGATTTTTCCATACCATGATACGCAGAAAATGTTCACATAAGATTTAATGGACATTTTGTTTATTGATTAGGACCTTCAAGCCACTCAGTAATATTTTTAGCAGTTTTTAGGAAAAATTGCTACCTTTGATTTAATGATGAAAGTGTTAATAATTATTTGTAGTTGTTTGCATTTTGGTTGTATTAATGTTAAAAAAAAAGTGCACTGTCATCACTCATAGGTTTTTTTTTTTTTTTTTTTTTTTCAAAACAAAATGTCTGGCTCAGTCTCCTTCCCAACTTGGTAGGAGAAAAAAACACTCTATGGACCACAGAAGAATCCAGATATTTCCGTAGAGTGAAATAATTTATTAATTCTTTCCTATCTTTATAGCTTTTACTTCAAAAGTGGCAATCCGGAGCACCCTGGGGATCAGTTGTATAACACAACTATTGAAATCATGCCATACTCGCACACACAAAAACAAGATGGCATCCTGACCAATGACGTGAACTACCAACAGTACAATCGCACAAACGACGGCTACCTGATCATGGGGGAGTTTGTTAATAGCGTGGCCAAGGGGGATGTTGGAGCTGCTCTTGGTCCTATATTGGAGTTGAGACTGCATGTGAAGTCTGAGAGCAAGGCATGGGTTATCCTCAGTGAGGTAAGAAAAAGCACCCTGAATTTCAGAGGTGCATTGTAATCGGAAAGTCATCTCAGTTATCAGTATTGAGGCCTACCCAACTGCCAGACTCAGCACTGAATGATCCTGAATTCACTGGTAGATCGGACCACACTACCCGTTTTCAAGGTGTGCGTCAGTATGCGCTTCAAAGTATCAGATGCGACACCCCTCTTGCCAAGTGCGCGATGTGATAGTGATGATTCTCAGTGGGGTTGGAAAGTACTGCATCACCACTCAAAATTTGTTCTGGGTATGATACTGTGAAATGCGTACTGACGCACACCTTGAAAATGGGCAGTGTGGTAGGCCTGGGTAGGCCTGGTATTGGTCTGTAATTTTCAGTAGAATGATTGGAAATGGCAGATGCCCTAGCTGATACTATAAAATTATGTAACTCTGTTAACTCTGAAAGTTGGGGTGAGGAATATGGCCATAAACAGTAAATAAAGTTTAAAGGCTTTAGTTGTTTTAAATAATGTATACAAAATGATCAATCTTTACTTATATAAATCTAAGTAAAGTCATTGTGATTAAAATTTTCAAGTTCATGCATTGGAAATGTTCTGTACAGAAAATATTTTCTGGTGGTGGTAAGAGAGTGAAATTATCAAATGTCCAATGTGTTTGTTGCATTTTAAATTTGTTTTTCAAAAATTTCCAGATTTACATAAAACCATTAACGACAAGCTGACAGGGAATGGCTACAGGCAGTTGACAAGACTGGACACATGTGACCCAATGTACAGGTGTTTTTTATTTCTCAAATGATCTGTTAAATTTTGATATGCCAAATTGCTCATATCAGGTGCTTGCAAGTTCATTTTGGAATATTTATAAACCATGTAGATAATAACACTTAGATCAATTCAAATGATATTTATAAACTCTATAATGAATTACATAATTCTTATTTTATGTGTGAGGTATTTACTCAAGTTTACACAGATGGCTTTACATTTTAAATCGGTTATAGTGTTCATTTTATCATTTTATGTACGCTGTCATCAAGAATGCCTTTTTGCCTATAGTGATTCTATGATTTCATGATTTTTCTCAGCATAAAAAAGGGCTTTTATTGGTTTTAATGTTATGGGATATTAAGGGAATTCACTTTTATTTTGAGCTGTTTATGAATATATATTAATAATATGAATTTCTTTTACACGGATAGAGGCAATTTATTTGTAATAAAAATATATTTATATGTGTGTGTGTTAATATTTGAAAGGGATTTGTGAAAATTCTCCTATATTGCTGATATTTATAATATTTTCAAATATTTTAATCTTCTGTGCTGTTTTAATTGCCATGACGGTTTGGGATTTGGTGCTACAACAAATGGTTTTTCATAATCATACTGCTTTTTTATGATCATTTATGATCCCCCCAAATTATTTACCAGGTGCTATCCAAGGAAAAAAGTTGATACAGTAATTATTATATTAGTTGATTATTCAAGAAGTAGATTCAATAAAACAATTTTAATGGAGTCATAGCAATGGGCATTAGTAGAAAAATAACGATAAGTCTGAACTAAGCCCAAAAACATGAGTTCTTTGTGAAATGGGCTCAAAAGCTAGTCTATCATTAACTGATTTTTTTTCACAATCAAGGTTCGAAATTAAAACTAGTTTATTTTATCTGCTGTATTTAATGTGTTCATTGCAATTTTTGTTCTTATAGTTGTGTGAGGGATGTGAATTTGTTTTACAGTAAGGGAAATTATGAGACAAATTTGAAAACTTTGAAAACCAAGACAACAATCTGGTACATTTTTCAAATTTTCAATTATGGTGTATTTTAACTATTTTAAGCTAGAAGTGATTTCTGAAGATGGAATTTTATATAAAATGTAGGTTTTATTCATATTTATGTCAACTGCAGTTTGAATGTCGAAATGGGTAGATTTTGTGTTGAAATTTTGTTCTTCTGGTATAGAAGACAAATTATTCCAATAATGGCTCATTCAGTTTCTTTGAGCAGCAGAAAAACATTAAATTTAATAGGAGCATTGGGTATTGAGTGGTAACTGACATTTGATTGATGGTTATCGATTGATTGGGAGTATCTTTTATCCTATCAGAGCGCTAATGAATGTTATATGGTGACTTTTAGTGTGGCCATTTTCTCCTATTGACACTATGATCCTTGAGAAAAAAAGGGGACAGTAATTTGGACTATGGAACATACAATGCTATAAATGCCTAATTCTTACTTCATAAACTTGTTTGCCATAAATGATTATTTTTTAATGGATTATCATAAGATTTTAATATTGGAATTAAACCATCTAATAGGGTTTCATCTTTGATTAAGTGCCAACAACTATCTCAGATCAAGATATTTAATATGTCAGGTATATATTAGGTTTTTTAAGTTGTCATCTTTGTAAATATTATAAAGTTGTAAAATAAATATAGTAATCAGTGACTTGAAATGCATTGCATTGCGTTGCAATAAAGTGTAGTTTGTGACAGGCCCAAGACCTTCATAAGACAAGAAAGCATTTGAAACTGGCTTTAAGACTGTATCAGGAACCCTGAGCATACATCACCATTTTACTTTAAAAAGTGTTTGCGATTAAATAGGAGCTTTCAGAACATTTCCAGCATGGATTTTGACTTAATCAGCCATAAAAGAGCTTTAAAGCTACACCATCATCAAATTTTTGGTTGCAAATTGACCTATTTCTCTACCTTTGTTATGTACAAGACAAAAAAAAAGAAAACATCCATCCATTTAAATATCAATTTTCAGATAATATAAATGATGTTTTCTAAGTTATACTATTTGAAACTATGTGGTGGGATTACTGCAAATGTATCTTTAAGGAGACTTGCCAAAATAGAGTTTGCAGTCTTGAGCTAGTTGAAATAACAGAAAACAAAGCTTTTCAACTGTTATTAGACTTTTAATAAGCCTTCTTTAAATATATAAATATGACAGCATAATATATCCAATCACATTTTTTCCAAATGGTACAGATGCTTCACAAAACATGACAAAAGTACCTTACTGTAAAAACTTCCTCTGTATTTAAATGTGCAACAAACATACTTAAAATTGACGATAACTGGAAAAAATTACTTATGATTGTGTGTCTTTTGTGTAATTTCATCAGACAAATAGTAAGTTATGAATCTTAAACATAAAATTTCATATCTTTATGACTATGAAAATATAAAGCCAGAATACAAAATACAAAGTCAGAATTATCACTTACCGGGTTTAAAAAATAACTTGATGCTTACAATATGATTAAACATTTTTATGAATGAGACAGTTAAATACTTTTACCTACTCATTAAGTTTTGCAAAACAAAAAATACTGAAAATAATAACTTTTTTGAAATGTAGGATGTTTGCCATGCTTTACAAAATCCAATCAATGGACGTCTTACTTCTTCACTGAAGATAAACTGCAATCTGTGCAGATAAACATATTTATATATCATATATAAAAGAAAACGGTAATTCTGTATATCAACCTCCACCATGGCTAGAACACTACAGTACAAGACACATCACTTATGTCATTTAGCCATATAATTCCCTTTTTACTGGTGCAACATACATACCATATTACAAAATGTTACATAGAGTAAAAAATGTACAACAATTTAAAAAAAAAAATGAAAATTTAATACATTTATGACATGTAAAGGGATAAATCAGCTTAACATCATAAAGACCAACGGAAGTACATTGAGCAAAAAAAAGAAGCCCGGGTGATTTAAAAGGCTATATTCTTAGTGTATACCCTGTTGTTCAGAACTATTCAGGTGTGCATATGTTTCTACAACACTGTGATGTGCACATGTACGTGCATGCACATATATTTAACATCACAATGCCATTTGTATGCACGTTTGCCTCTATGCAAATGTATTTTAAAATACCATACATGCTTCAGTCATATTCATCAGTTAAATAGAATATACTTAAAAAAAATTTTTATAATCAAACATATTGAATATTTTTGCTGACTGGCCTCATCTAAAAATGACTTAAAATCATTATTTTCAAGTACTTACACAAGCCCAATTTTAGACTATTTCCCTTGTTTAAATAATAATTTGAGAGAGCACAAAATATACACAAATTTAAATTCTGTTATCAGTGTAGTCTGTTTAGTTAATAAGTGAATACTTGGCATATCATTACCTCTACCCCCTACAAAATAAATAAATTAATGAAAGAATAAATAACGATCATAATAAAACCTGTGAGATCTGAATGATCCATAGGCACAAACCCCTCCATAATGCTATTACAGGTTTAAAAAATATGTGCTATTGCATCTTAATATGTCACATGATTAAATATGAACTGTGAACTAAATTTTCTTCAATCAAAATCAATTTCTGTCTAGCAATATTTCAATACTTAGTGCATGCTGCATTTTCAGCTCCATGTGTTGAATATAGTCAGTGGGGTATGCCATAAATTAAGTAGATATTGATCTTTGACCCTTCTTTTGACCCATGACCTGAAGGTTACTGAGTAATGACTCTCCTCTCTATTTCGTCACACTTTTTGCCACCTAATGCTGTTCTTGCTGCATGAAGGCCAATCTCTGGCCGTCGGTCTACCAAACTATAAATATCACCCATCTGAAAACAGGAAAAGAAGAAAAACATGCTATTAGTGCTTACTGAATTGTATATTCAGGTGCAAGTGTCATATTTTCAACCAAACAGTAGACTTTGAACTCTCATTAAATAAAGAAAAAATATCCGTTTTCATTTTTGAAGCAGTCACTCTCTGGCATAAATCTCCCTGGCAACTGTGCTGACACCTGGGAGTGATTCTTAGACACTAATGTACATGTGTATCTTTGCTTTTTGAAAAAATAAAAATGAAGACTGAAACTTCTGAAATCATGCATAATCCTGAAAACTTTCACCCATGCCTCATAAATATTAACCTAGCTTCAAACCATATGTGAGGAGATCATACCTCACAAATGTCAATGCACAATCCTCCACTTTTCCTGATCTGTTCTCTACTTGGTTCAACACTTTGTTGATCGACGCCCTTACAAGCACTGTCTATCAGAATAGTTCGGAAGCCATGAGCAATGGAGTCTAGAGAAGTAAAACCTGGAGAAAAAAAAACAAACAATACAGTAACTACACAAACTTGTTGATTATACTTTGTGTCATGAATTCATCTTTATTGTCATTTGTTTTTAATCACATTTTTCATGTATTGTAAACAAAACAACTGTATAAATATATACATTGCATTAGTATTCCCCAAATTTCAAGTAGAATTACAGTGATTGTTTTTTTTTTTTTTTTTTTTACTCTGGCTGTACTAGTATGAATCAAGTACTGTGGCTGACTCACCTGGCAATCAAAAATTAAAATCTTCATGCACACACAAACACACACTAATTGCTTGCATTTAAAATTTCCATATGCATAATAATTATAAATACAAATTGGGCTTAAAAACACATCCCACATATCGATAGTCAACTCACACAAATAGACATCACTTACTCCATTAAAATCCCATCTGTAAATTCAGAATAATATTATTTGAAAAATCCATCATCTAATAATCTTAAATACTTAAATAAATATCAACTGAAAAATAATGATAGATGTTTTTATTACATCTTGGAACAATCAATAAATACCCCATACAGGCTACAGCCATTTATCCAAATAAGTAGCGAAATGGGTCACAGTTTAATTAATTGTGGTAGGATGAACGCAAGATGATTTCAGATAACATATTCTAGGCCAGACAATTATTACTTACGGACACAGATGTCTATGGCCAGCCCGCAGACATAGACGTCTGTTACTTTTCTTTTCCTTAATTCCGCCTCTAGCTGAGTTTGCCTTAATTTGCCATTGTCCCAGAAAGCTGAGTAGCTGTCAATATCGGGATCTGTGCCCTTGTTTATGTACAGTGCATTGTTTAATAACTGGAAGAAACAAATAATAACAACCTGACCAAAATGTGTTTTATAATGTAAGTTTCATGAAAAAACAGCCGATAAACAAATAAAATCAGAACATACTATTCAACAGGTAAATTTGATAATTGCTTAAATCAATTCCTTAAACCTACTCCAGACCAGCTCAATGAAGTTATTTCACATACATATCCAGTATATCTATGCTTCCATGATAAACAGAAACATGCATGAGAGAGAGAGAGAGAGACTAACTTTAAGATCTTTATGCAATTTTGCTCCTTCAGTATTTTGAACACAGTGCCTCGGCCACACAGTCTGTATTCTTCCCTCTTCATATCCCGGGATCCTGAATATAACCTCATCTTGTACCTTAGCATGCTCTGCTTTTACCTGATGACAAAGGGCATAAGAATTTGTAAAAACATAGGATAAACACTTCTAATGCCAGACTTTTTGACATAGCAATTTTCAAAAAATGCGCACTTAAGGTAATATTGCCTCCTTCCCTCTTTTTTTTTTTTTTTTTTTTTTTTGATGGATACATTAAACCAATGTTGACCTTTTGTCATTAATTTTGGTATTAATCTGCATTAATGACTTTTTTTTCACTTCTTTAAAAATGCTATAATTACTACCAAACAAGGCATCAAATTAAAATCTACCATTTTCTGCAAACTAGGGTGCTTGACCTACCTTTGACGCTGGGTCTATTTCTCTTTTTTTCACATTCTCAACAAAGGATATATGATCGTGTGGATGCCAGTCTAGAGTGTAGACCACTAAATCAAATTTGTAGGTGTCAAGAATGTTATTTATAGGAGAAACGATCAACTCCCCTTCTTGGATGGCTAAAGAGCCGCTGATAAAATCATTCTGGACATCAACAATTATCAAGGCTGTCACTGGATCAAGAATCTGAAAATGACAGAGGCTCTAAAGAAGAAACCAGAAAACAAAAAGAACTAGAGGATCAGAGAGGCGATACCGCCTCTGGATATTGTACCACCAGCTGGAGTAAGCGCATTGGTATGGACCCTCCCCCCCCCCCAAAAAAAAAATTGAACACCACCACCAGTCTTGTGTTTGACAAAATGCAATAAACAAGAGTTCTCAAAATATGCAACAAGAAAAAAAAAAATCGAAAAAACAGTTAAAATGGTCCAATCAAGGAGATGTTCAAATTGACCTGTATTTTCCTAACACTGATCACTCCTGTGATTTTCAAGACAATAGGCCTATTGGTTTTCCTTGAAATGCATTATCAGTATTGCATATACCGGTATGCTGACAAAAGAGAAAACCTAGGGACAACACTGGGCAGATCTCTGCTAGTTTTGAAGATATGAAGGG